TGTTAGCAACTGGACAAATTTAACGCAGCGGTCAAGGAAAACCGACCAGAATTGGTCAATCGTAAAGGTATCATTTTCCACCAGGACAATGCTAGGTTGCGCACGTCTTTGTCCACTCGGCAAAAATTGATGGATATTGGTTGGGAATTGATGTTACACCCACCATATAGTCCTGATCTCGCGCCATCGGATTACCACTTATTTCGATCCCTGGACAACTCCCTTCGTGGTAAAACTTTTAATGATGATGACGCTGTAAAATCTCGTTTAACTCAGTTTTCGGCCGAAAAGGATCAGACTTTCTACGAGCGTGGAATTTTCAAGTTGTCAGAGAGATGGCAAAAGGTCATCGAACAAAATGGAAAATACATTACAGATTAAACTTCATTCCAAGTAAAAAAAATTTTTTATTTCATCGAACAAATCGGCAATTACTTAGTTGCCAACCCAATATAATATTATATTATAATTATATATAATATTAAATATATATATATATTGTTATATATATATAATATATATAATAGATATAATATATAGACATATCGTAAATATACGTCCGCAGCAGTGAAAAGGTTAACGTCGTGCGACATGCGACGACAAAATTGACGCAGAAATGTAAACACCAGTTGTCACTGGTTGGTCGAAGTTCCAACACGTTGTTACAAAAATCGTCGATGGTTTCGATCATAATTGTCTATCTTTCCATCGCCGGCTTCTTCGTTGTACGTCACGTGGAGCCATGTTTCCGCATAATTATTACGGAAACGTAAAGCGCACGAATGGATCTTTTCCCCCTTTAAAGTATACGATACTCGCAGACACGTAAAATGCTCTGCACGCTGGCTCCGTCATTACATTATCGACATAATTGTATGAATAATATAGCAGACCGTTTGATCTTCCGATTCAGTCTCCGGTTCGCTAGCCGATACGATGCGTAAGTAACAAGCGTATTCGAGACACGCTTCCGACATCCTCCCCTCCGGTTTCGTTACGATTGACGGAACGTCTGAGTGTCCATAAATTGCATCGAATCACGATTTATGCGCCTGTTCACTTTTTATACGTTTCGCGTCGCCAAAGAATTATTTCTTTCGCGTTACACGACGATTGGCTTGGATTTGCAATTTTTATTTCTCCCGCTTTGTGCGGCATGTAACAAAATCCTGTACATCCTCGCTTCGGCAATACCAAGTGAACGGGAACAATGATGAAAGGATTATTTGCATGATTCAATAGAGCGAATTGTACGCTTCACGGTCGTACGTAATGCGAACACGTTCAAACAATGCCGGTCTAATGCGCACGGGAGTTTAAGCAGCGGAAACAGCGATCGTTTCCGTCCGAAAATTGATCCGATTAATTGTCTAATATTTGTCTAAGAATTTC